CCTTGATGGCCTCCTTCCTGGCCTGGTCAAATGTGAGCCCACAGTTAAATCCCTGAATTTTTCTCGTAAGCCAGAATCTCAGTTCTTTGGGTCATGTCACAGATTCAAAATACAAGTGTTTGGATCCAAGCTGATATTCAGGATATTCACCAGGCAAAAACATGCTGCCTTCCAGGAAAATATACTCCTTAAAGATCTAATGTACTCATCAAGGAAAAAAAGAAAGAGGGACTGCAAGTAAATAATCTTCCATTTCTAAATGGAGGTTAAGAACCAAGGTCTTACCAGGAACATTCAGAAAAGGAGTTCATTACATCACTGGTAATCTTTTCTTAGTACTTTGGTGCCATCTGTGAGGGCTCTCGTGTGATTTTACAGATGTTCCAGTGTGGTCATTTACTCATGGCATATTAACGACTGCTGTTGTCTAAATAAGTTCAGTGATGAATTATGTAGAATTTCATCTGGCTGAGCAGACTGTGTAGATGAATTTTGCTTATGGGGTGTGGGAGATGTTTTGTGAGCTTCATAAACGGATGAAAAAGAGTTAAATGTCCTTTTCACCTCTGCTGGTAGGGTCAGACATTGTATCAAAATAACTATCTGAAAGACAAAGACAGAAGCATTTCTTCCTGTGAAGATGCTGAGCTTATGTATGTCTGAATGTGGCTGCAGTGAGGGCGGCCCAGAATGTAATTCTGTCTGGCTTGTTTAAAGCACAGATACAGCATTGCAACAAATTATATGTTTCCATGCTCTGAGGAAAAATTGTATTGAATATTTTCTCTCTTTGCAAGCTTCAGTCAGCAAAAATCAAAGTACTTGCTTCAGCTCACTAAGTAGTAAGCTGGGCACTTGTTTTATTTGAGTTTTATTGCTGTAGTTTCTTCCAGCCCAGTCATTTTGCTGACAGTTTAGGTGAGGGTTAGCTTTTTAAAATCATTAATAATTCAAGAATAAGTTGGTCTATGTTGCACTTGAATATTAAGTCCAGAGTTGGTGCTTTTAGTAGGTACAGGTCAGACTGACTTGTGTGGTTGCATTCAGCAGTCACAGGTGAAGCTCCCCCACAGGACATGGTTAGAATCTCCCAAAGCATAACATGACTGTTGTATGACCTGCCAAGTATGGACCTTGTCATCGTGTGGCCAGAGATACCTGTATGTCAGTAATGCCAGTGTGTTGGTGTCATAGCAAAGGGACATGGTGTCATCAAAAGGGCTGGCGTTGAATCGTAGAATCATTAGAGTTGGAAGGGACCCTTAGAGGTCATCTAGTGCAACTTCCCTGCAGTGACCAGGGACACCTACAGCTCCATCAGGTGCTCAGAGCCTGATCAAGCCTCACTTGAATGTCTCCAGGGACAAGACACCCACCATCTCTTTGGGTGGCCTGTTCCAATGCCTCACCACCCTCACTGTAAAAGTCTTTTTCCTTATATCCAACCTAAATCTACCTTCTTTAAGCTTGAAGCCATTTCCCCTTGTTCTGTCACCACAGACCCTGCTTAAGAGACTGTCCCCTTCATCAGGAAGATGCACTTCCAGCAGCAGCACTTTCAGAGAAATGTGTTCTTCATCCTGCTTCCTTCATAGCCACAGTCTGACTAAGGAAAAAAGTATTTAAAAGATCAGGTTTGGGGCTGACTGAGGTTTTCCTGTTGTACGTGTTTATATCAATAGCTATAGAATGAGCAACCGCTGAATTTCAGTCATGGTGTTGTTGTGAGCCTGCTTAGAGATGGCCTTGTTGCTGTCATCTCAGAGAAGAAAGTCATTTTTTCTTGCCTTATAAGTATTTTTTTGGCTTTAACATTTGAAACAGCATAGACCAGCAACAATATTAATGAAAACCCTTTCTGCATTGCATCTTTGCATATCTGTTATGGATTGCCAGTCCTTTAGCCTTTCCGGGTAGCAATGATGCAGACCACAGAAAGCTACAAAGCAGAGATAGCTGGGTGTCTGGCTGGCTTCCTGCAGGGCGGCTGGGCTGAGAGGCACTCCTGAGAGATCCGCACCACTGGGGGTGTTGGAATGAGCATCCTTTGTACAGCATCCCTGCAGTGCACTGGCTGGAGGGCAGGAGATGGGAAGGCTCAGCATGCAGGTCTGGTCACTGATGTGCACAAAGCAGGGAGCACCATTTGTTCATTCATTACTCAGACGTAGCCCTGAAGAGCCACAGCTTGCATTGCATTGTTAAGGAGCAAGAAGAGTTCATATTTGAAGATAAAACGGTCCTTTTGTTTACACAGTCTCACTGCTTATATAACAGCACTTTTAATGGTAAAGTACAGCTGGAGCCTGGACATGTCATCTATAGAAATAACACATAATGGGGAGCAGTGTAAAATGTAGTAAATGGTGCTGGAGGCAATCAGCATAGTAGGTACCAGAGGCCGGGAAACACATGGTTGTGAAGGAGCACCTGCACTGCCTTTCTGCAAGCAGCAGTGCTGAGTGGGGTTTCTGAAAAGCGAGGGAATGGGCTTGTAAAGGGCCCCAGGGAGTTGTCACAGGAGGGGCAAGTGGCACTTCCCATGGTGGGGAAGGCATCCCCAGCAGCTGGCTGACACGGCACAGGTGGTGGCCATAGGTGTGTTAAATGGGGAAGTTCTGCAACTTTTTTGTTTGTTTGTTTTGCATTGGAAGTGTTGTGATTGTACTGTTGTACTTTCACAAAGAGGAGAAAGGCCACTGACTAACCTTGCTTTTCTCTTTCTCGAAATGGTAAAAACTAATACACATATGTGCAAAAGCACCACCTCGCACACACAAACACAAGCATGCAGTGGGACAAAATCAGAAAAATTGCCAAGCTTTCTTCTGAGATATTCAAGGTTGATGAAGTGAGCTCTGATTCAAAAATGAAACAAGGGCACATGGCAGTCAGTCGATGGCATCTGCACTCCAGCACGTTCGTTTCCATTTATTTCGTTGAGACAGTTTGTAAGCTTTGCATGTTATAAACCAAAAAGAGCTATTGATTTTTTAAAGTGTCAAGTTTTTTTACAATCTGTTAAACCATTTTTTTTCAATTCTGAGTGAAAAAAAATACTTATGATCTGTGTTCTGCTGCTTAAAGAAACTTCAAGATTCATACTTGCATGTCATATGAATGATGAAACAAAGTTATAAATATTCATTGCTTTCTAGAATCACTTTTTTAAAAAACATATCTTTATACTCAGTGTTTGTAAGTCCCCATTAGTGCTTTTTGTGCTCTCACATCAGAATTCCTAATTTATAGCCAAGCAAGTATCTCAGGCCTAGATCTTCTTCCTACATGTAATGGAATCATAATGCTGTCACAGATATCACAGCCATTTTTGTAAAATACGATGTTAAGGAAGACCGAGTTCATTGTACTATACATATGTAAATGCCTCTGTTTCAATAGTCTCAGGGGAAAGCAGATGCCAGAAAGAATTCCCAACCAGTGTACATATTAATTGTCACCACCTATCGTGGTGAAAAAGCACATTCATATGAGGAAAAGCGTGAAGAATCGGGAAGGTTTCCTTGGGAGAGTAAGGGCATCTGTGTGAGACTTAAGGAAGCCACATGGTGAATTGTAATAATCTAACTGCAGTCTAGAAAATCACCCTTTCCTTCTTTGTATCTGTAATGCTGTTATGGTGCAACTCCTGCCTTCAGACGGCCGCTGTGGATTTACAGCAGGCTGCAGAAAATCAGACTCTGGCACAAGTTGTTTGTTATCAGCATAGCCCTGCAATGACAGATAGCTAGTGGTACAGCACAAAACAGTGTATATTTTGCTTCTCTGTAACTCATAGTCTTTTCAGCTTCAGGAGCACAGTGGACGGGTTATCACAGAGCATGGTGAACTGATCTGTTGAACATGTATGCTTATGTAGGTGTTCGTGGGTGTGAAGACATCCTGAGCTTCTCGAGCCTGGATGTGGATAAGAAATCCACAGCATGACCAAATGATTAGACAGAAAGTTCTGCCTATAAATTATCTGGGCAGAAGTGTAGCTCATGTGGATGTTTCTATATCCAGAATCCACACTGGAGACAGCTGTGTGGGTTTGAAGGAGATGAGCTCTGTGTTTGATTGGCATCTACCCAGTTTGGAAAGAACAATGCGAAAAATTGAATTTCCTGAATCAAAACAGGCAATTCACCAAATTCTCAGCTACATACAGAAATAAAGGGATGCAAATCTATGTTCAGTGCCTCCCCTGCATGGCATGACTTGAAGGAAGTTGCCGTATGCAGTTGCACCATCTCTCACTTGGGGATTTGAGTTCTTCCTGCAGCACAGGCACAGCTGTTCCCAAGAAATGAAATGTTGTTTGCTTGTATAACTTCCCACAGTGCAGCCTTTGGTTGGTCCATGCTGATTCTCTCTGCTGTTTCGGCTGCTGAATAAGTTGGTATTACCTCAACAGAAGCGTTGAAAGTGGAGTTAATGCTGCTACGCTCCGTATTTAAAAAACATTTTTTGAAGTCCGAGTGAATGTCAGTAAAATATTCTCTCATGGTTCAGGGCTCCCATAGCTGGTACAATGCCTTAATTGGCATTCTTGTGCAGTGCTTGGACCTTTGCCAGTTAATGACCCATTGCTGCAGTCTGCACAGGCAAATTACCCCTTCTGTCCGGCTCTTCAAACTGATGGACTTTTGCCCAAGTAATGGCTGCAGGCTCCTATTCTCAGCTGGCATCAACCCCAGTGCGACTATAAACATCCCTGAGAGGGTCATAATATGATATATTGGACAGATTCTGATGCGCCTCACAGTCGTATACCACCAAATAGTTCTGCTGAAGTCAGTGACTTTGGCAGTGGCATAGCAGAAATCAGAAACTGGTCCTTACGCTGTAGCTCTCTCAAGTAATGAAACAATTCCAGGTTATTAGCTGGTCTGTGTCCCTTTGGATGATGTATTTTTTGCAAACGCTTTATTAAACATCCAAAATAGTTTCTACTTTTGTTCTGATTTTAAATGGCTGCATTATCTCTCCTGCTACAGGATTTTCCATTCTCCAGGCAATTATGGAAGCAGCAGTTCAAAACAACTGGCAAGTGACTGCCAGATCTGTAGGAAGCATAAAGGATGTTCAAGAATTCAGAAGAATTATAGAGGAAATGGACAGGCGACAAGAAAAAAGATACTTAATTGACTGTGAAGTAGACAGAATAAACACCATTTTGGAACAGGTATGTTTTTGAAACTTTCTGGAACTGTGGTTTCTCAGTGATACATTTTGTTAATGTTTCCAGAACTGTCCATTCCTAGAAATTAATTAAATTTAATTAAATTAAATAATTAAAGGTTTGAGTCCCAGTGACCAGCCGGTTACTTAGTAAAGTTAAAATTCCTCACTGATGTCCACAGTTGGTGGCGGTACTTACATGTAACTTACCAGGAAATGTCTCTGTGATATTTTTTCCAAATGTTAATAATGTATTATTTTTAAGTAGGTTAAGATTCTGAAGCCTCATCCACCAGAGCAGCATTACTACTGCCAGGGTTTCTTGCAGGGAGTGCCAGGCAGGTGTGGTTTGTTAAATGGAACCTGGGACAGGAAATAAAAGGCCAGTTAAACAATTCTCAAATGCAAATATTGCTGATGAAAAATTCAACTGGTCCAAACGGTTCAAAAAGTCCAAACTGTTCCTTAGTGCTTTTGGGGACATTAATCCCTTCCCTCTGCATGGCTGGAGCTGTTGACAAGCCTAAATTGGAGGTGATAGAATTCACCTTTTCTGATGAGGGCCCGGTTTTGAGTCACTAGTTTGCTGTTGCCCAGCCTTCTTCACCCACAGCCGTGCCAGGTTGCAATCCAAAATACCTGCATCCCTCTCTGCGCAGCGTGCTTGAAGAGGTATTGGACAGATAGACATCATGGGAAGCAAAAACAGAGAGGGTGCCTCTGCCCGGGCTTGCCACCTAGCCAGGGTTGGTACAGGACCTAATCTATGTGGCTATCTATCACTGACATGTGGAAATTCATTTGTCTTAAGACTGAAAAACCCTCTGATTACGACCAACTCATAAATTTAACTGGGGATTTACGATACAGAATAGATCAAAAGTATCATTTAAATTTCATGAAGCATTAGCATTCTTTTAGAAATGTTGTCTTGTATGCTAGTAGCAAGCTGACCTCACTGCTATAAACAGATCCTGGAAATGCAAAAGATACATTCACCGAGTTTCTTCCAATATATTCCATTTTGGTCCAGCCCTGAGGTATGGTGGAGGGCTGGTGTGTGGGGATGAATCACTGCCACAGGTCCCAGAGATGCTGGTGATAGACAGCAACAGGCAGAGGAGGGAGCTTTGTCTCAAGAGCGTAGCACAAGGCCATGCTGACCCGAAACTCTACTGCTAAATGATTGTAATACTAACATGTAGCATTGCATTCTACACTGTAATTTTCAGTCAATATGGTGACTATTCTCTTTGGGGAAGTTCATGAACTGTAAGAAACTTAACTTTTCCTTTCTTCCTTTTGCTTATATTCTTGCAAAAGACTACAGCCCAATCTTTTTTTCAGTGATGCAAGAGAACACCCAAGCCAAGATTAATAACACTTTGGGTCCGCTCTCAGCTGGAGAATAGGCACTTTGTTTGATCTTTCTAAGTCCATTTACATTTTATTCACTCTTCTTATTATAATGTGCAAGTGAGAGAAAAATAGTCAAACCATTTGAAAGCCAAGCACGAAAGCCAAGCACCAAGCAAATGATCTAGCAGAACAATTGGCAAATGTTTCTTCTGCAGCCATTTGAAGCTGAAAGACAAAGAAGTTATAATTTTACTGAATATTTGATTCCACTTTTTATTCATGTTATTAGCATCTGTGTAACTAAAGATTTGGTGCTGGGGCTGCCAGGTATCCCTGAACTCTACAATAGTTTGCTCACACTTGGGCATAGTTATAGCCCTTTCTCTTGCCTTCAGTTTGCACACAGCTTGTCCCTGTGCGGTTAAATGAGGCTTTTCTCTGTTGTTATGCTCACTGTCCGTCTTTTGAACTTTTCATGAAATCTTTATCCAAAATAATCTGAAGTATTTCTAAAAGATCTAAAAATTTCCTTCTGGTTGGACTTTGTAACTCAATCAGCTTTAGCCAAGCAGTTGAATGCAGTTAGTCCATTGCTTTGCAACCAAACCTGTCAGACATTTTCACATGCAAGTGTTATGTCACGTGTGTTGTCCCATGGGTGTAATATGATTATTTTCCCTTAGTTTTACTTAAGGTACTCATGAGCAAAATTGTTTGAATTTGCAGTATCAGAAATGGATTTACAATTTTTTGTTTAGGAAACAAAAACCTGTAAGGCAAACCAAATGTAGCTTCTGAGACAAATACTTCGGTACTAATCCTGTCTCATTAGAAGTCCAACAAGTGGATTCCAGTTGTGCAACACTTTCATAGGCATATTATCCCATTTATTTCAGCAGGACCATTCACTTGACAAAAAAAATTGTCCAAGCATATCCCTAGCTGGTGCCTGATGTGTTAAAAATACCTTCTGGCAACATTTTCCAGAGTTTTATGTTTGTTTTTTAATCTGGAATTCAAGAGGAATGATTAAGTTTCTGCAGGGAAAGTCAGTAATGCAGGTCCCCAGATTGTCAGCTGAATAACTATTGGTTTTAGGCATTTCGTTCCATCTCATCTCCTTTCCTTGTTATCTTCTCATAAGGTAGCTAAAAAATTTCACAAATACGTGCAGTGTTAAACCCAGCCATCCAGTTTGCTCAAGGGAATGGTGAGTTGTCTTCGTTACAGCCAGCTGTGTTTGCTGATAGCATACCATTGAGGGGAAAGATAACTCTGGATTTGCATATTTCAAATCTGTGTTTGATTGCAGTTTAGAAAGTCAGATTAGTGCTATGCAAGGAATCTATAGGGGCTGCTCAGCTAAAAGGCAGTAACATCTCCATGCTGACTACATCACTGCAGGTATACCCAGCAAGAGAAAAGGGGAAACCGTCAGGGCTCCCTGCCTGTGATGGCACAGATCTGAAGGACAAACTTCCCACAGCCATTGCCATAGGCTGCCTCAGCACCATTACCCTTTCCATCCTTCTTTCTCTGGACCACTCAGGGCCCATCATCAAGGCTCCCCCCAGGAGTAGTGCCTGCCCCAGGGAAGGTAACTGTCTACGGACACCCTGGAGGTGTGGCGACTGCCATTTCATTCTGCAAGGACAGCACTTGTTAGGGAACCTAGATTTGAGAAATGGAAATAGGTCTTATTTAAGAACACAAATCATAGCAGAAATAAATGGATCATAAACCACTGAACAATCTATGCACGTTCTGAGTTTGCTATCAGACTTTTAGGCACATTACCAGACAGTTCAGCAACTTGTCAGGTCTCTGCTCCAGAAATCACATATTGTGGCTTTGTGTTAGTGCTCAGATTAAAGAAGAGTGACCTCTTCTCAAGAGTCAGGCTGGTCAGTGTGTGCAGTTCTCTTCCTTTGATGTTTTTTTCAACCAGTTCAAACAGGGATGCGCCTCTCTTCCAAAGGTGTAGGCTTACCTAAAGCCAAATACCCACCTAAGGATTTTCTTCAGAGACTTCAGGTCCTACTGGAATATTTTGTACCTACCTCCAGTGACACGCAGATATGTGAGACAGTGACCTTCATAGTCCACATGCCTTTAATGTCTGGCACATCTGTATGTCCAACTGTTTCCAAGTTCTGATGCCTGTCATATGAGGTATTTCTATCCTCAGGGCTGGCTAGTACCCACGAAAGGTTTTCGCCTGGTGGGTGAATGTAAAGGAAGAGAAGGAGGACACCATAGTTTGCACTCTTTCTGGATAACCTGTTTTGTGTGAGGTTTCCCTGTGTAGCACATCCGATTTCGTTCAGCATCCCAGAGAATCCTTTTGTGGCTCCATATTGTGGATAAAGGTGGATACCATGCCCAGATCACCTCTAGTTATATCTTCTTACCTGTGGACTAGAAGGAAGCACGGAAATCAATAGTCATTCTCCTGGTTACCATCTGTTTCTTCATTTGCCCTGTAGTTCTGTAACCATGTGGATCCATATCACTTCTTGCACAACAAAGCTATATCCAATTTAATCATCTAGTGGCCTCTCAAGCATACGGATAGCAACACTTATGTCATGCAAAATTCATAAGCTCCCCACACTTCTTTTCCCTTGGTGCTAAAATATTACTGTATTCCTTCACGGACAGATATAATATTTTGTTCTCATAAACTGAACATTTTCTTCTGAGAACTAACAGTAAGCTTTAGCCTATTTGACCGTGTATTTAGAGGCATGTTTTCGAGTTAAAAAATGTGTTTTTTCTTATTCCCAAGATGACAGACTGTATTTCTGACTAGAGTGGCTTTGTGTCCATTTAGAAGTAAAGCTCCCGAGGGAAAATAAGGAGGAAGAAACTCCATTTGGGATCAAAATGGTAAAACTTTACAAAAGACCCAATTATTCCAGAGACCGTGTGCTTTTATCAAAAGGGTGCTATCTCCAAACACAGCCATATAGGTTAGGTTCCAAGGTAATCTCTTTTCTGAGTGGAGGCATCTCACAAAGCAGAAGTAATATTATAGCAGAGAATGCAGTCCCCAAAATTTTACGATGATAATGAAACTGTCAAAGATGACTTGAAGTAAAGCATCCATGGGATTAAGAAGGGTAATCTGATTGACTGAACTCTGTCCCATCCTGGCACTGACTGTGACTTGACATTTGAGTGTGAACGTTTGAGATTAAGAAGACTATCTCCAAGTTTTTCTCCCTCTGCATAGCTGCTCAGATCACAAAGGACTGGGCTTGCTGCAAAACAGCTTTGCCATTTGTCAGAAAAATAAATGCAAAAACACAGCATTAGGTTGCACCAGTAGTCATCAAAAATAGCAACAATAACTGCCTATAAACACAATGGGACACTTGAAGGAGAGAGCATCCAGTATGTATGGTGTTGTGTAACATCATTCAGAAAGTGGTACAGTTCATTTTTATATTTCCAGTGAACTAGAAACTTAATATTTAGGGCATTCCTTCATTAGATGCCCATGAGTATTGTTGAAACTGGGATCTAAAGCAGAGTGACAGGTCACTTCTTTCCCCTCACATTCAGAGAGTTTCAGGTTTGTTTGGGCTTGTGGGAAGCAAAAGGGAACTACTTGAGTCAGTTACCCTCAGGACTGTAGCTAGC